AAACAATTATTCAATAAATTTTACAATTATATTATTAATCAAAATTACATTAACATTTAACCTTTATACTAACAAATTAAAATTACACTAAAATTTAATCTTTATATCAGCCAATCAAAATTACATCAATATTTAATCTTTACACCAACCAATTAAAATTGCACTAGCATTTAACCTTTGCACCAGCCAATCAGAATTGCACTAGCATTTAGCATTTGCGTCAGAATTTAGCCATTATGCTCAATTGTATCAAGGCTAATTCCTGAACTCAATTGGCTAAATTAAATCTGATTAAATTCCTGGTTCAATTCATATTGCGCTTCTCATCTCTAATGCATGTATATCTATTTTATATGGTTGAACATGAGGGATTCAAAAATTTTGTTAATAATTTGTAACCACAATTTAAAGTAATAAGTGAGAAGATGGCATGTGAAGATTGTAAAGAGATCGTTAAAGATCTTAAGGTAAAAGCTAATATAATGAGACGAGAAGCTCCTGGACATTTGAGTTATATGACCGATTTGTGAACATCGAACTAAAATTTTGGATATATAGTCATTACATGTCATTTTATTGATAAGAATTGGAAACTTCAAAAACTAGTCCTAGCATTCAAAATGATTTCTGCACCACATACAAGAATTGCTATAAGCGAAATGTTTTTTAAATGTTTTAATGATTGGAATGTTACATCAAGAATATTAGCTATCACTATGGATAATGCAACTAGTAATGATGCTGTAATAAATAATATAAAACATAATCTTGATGATCAAAACATGCTTGTTGCCAATGGAAGTTTATTGTATCAACGTTGTTATGCTCATATATTGAATCTCATAGTTAGTGATGGTCTCAAAATAATTAAGAATATTATAAGCAAAACTCAAGAATGTGTGAAGTGGATCCGTAGTTCGTAACGTCGACAACAAAACTTTGAGGATGCTGTGATTGGATGTTGTATTGAACTTGTATCAAGTTAGCGACCAACTCTTAATATACCCACTTGCTAGAATTCAGTATATTTAATGCTAGTATCTACTATTCCATATAAAAGTGTATTTGAGCGCCTTGTATTACGAGATACTAATTTTGAACAAATTATGCCTTCTGATAAAGATTGGAAAAAAGCTGAGAGTATTTGTGATTTCTTGAAGCCGTTTATGAAGATAATAATAAATCTTTAATATTTTTTGAGTTTTGTTTATACTTTACTAAAAGCACATATTAACTAGTTATTTATTTTAATATATTTACAAATATTATATCAGGAAGTATATATTCAACAGCAGATATTTTCCTTCCTCACATGGTGAAAATCAAGATGTATCTTGAATAAAATGTCACTAATATAAACCCTTTTATTTGTCAAATGGCCACACCAATGTAATCCAAGTTCAATAAATACTGAACAGATGTGGGAGATATGTATTGTATTGTATCTATAATGGATCCTCATTATAAGATATTATTACTGATTCATATATATAAGCAAAAAATGTACTTGTCGTGTACTGAAGCAGAGAACAAGTTAAATTCTATTAAAATGAGGTAAGTTATTTCGAATATAATGTTTCTAAATATACTTAATTATTTTTACTAATTCTATAATTATTTATCATCATATAAAATTACATTGATCTATAAATAAATATATATGTAAAATACAGTTACTTTGAATAATTATCATAATTTTTCTGATGTTATTTCTCAGGAAGATGAATTAATACAAGATTTCAACCGTTTTCTTATGACTAATCAAGTTAATGTCATAAATGAAATAAATGAGTTTAAGCAATATCTTTCTGATCCACTTCTTTCCTGTTCTCGATCAGAGTCATTTGATGTTCTAGCTTGGTAGAAGGAAAATACACTGAGATATCCTTCTGTGTCATTAATGACAAGAGATATTCTTGCTGTTCCAATAACTTCAGTAGCCTCTGAAACAGTAAGTAAAGTTCCAATTAAGTATTAGCTTATCAATATAATATAATCTAACTCATATTATTTATTCAGATATTTAGTACGGCAGGAAGAATTATTAATGACTATCGATCAAATCTTACACCGGAAACTGTTGAAACATTAATATGTGATTAAGATTGGTTGAGAGGTGTAAAGGAACGAGACTGGACAAACTAAAAGATGGTACATCATAAGTAGTTTTTTCATGTGAAGTATTCAGAAGCAAATAAATTAATTCGATTACATAAATAAGATTTTTTTTGTAAAGTTTTTTTTCATATGAAGTATTCAGAAGCAAATGAACTAATTTAATTAAATAAACATAGACTTATTGTTTCAGATATTAAAGGAAAAAATAGTTTATAGAATTAATAATTATCATGCAAATTATGGGACATTTTATTAATATCGGTTAATTACTATATCTAATCAATTAATCATTAATTAAATATAGCCAAATCAGCTTATTCAGCTTGTTTACTAACACCTTTTTCTTTCTATAGCAAATAATTTTAAAAATAGAATAATTTTATTATCAAAAAAAATAATAATAATAAAATACGTATGGATTTGTTATTTTTAATATAAATATATATCAAATACATTAAATGACGTATATTTAAAAATAGAATGATTTTATTATCAAAAAAAAAATAATAATAAAATATGCGTTTGAAATTTATACTATTTTTAATATAAATATATACCAAATATAAAATGTAATGTATAATATATTAGACATGTGTAACAATCAAATTGGTTATATTTCATATAAATTGGTGGTGTTATGGTATAAAATGTAACATTATAATTATTAGTTAAAACTTCAATATATTAATATAGTATCAATACATTAT